CAAGGTCAGCCCTCCCCGTAAGCAAGCCACACATGGCAAGGTTAACCCCCCGATAAGCAAAACCCAAAAGCCAAACTTAGCGGCCCATAAGCAAGGGCAAAAGAGAAACGGGACCCCAATGATGCCGATGATGCTGGCCAAGGGGGCCAGCATTGTCAGCATGATTGGGAGTCCGTTTCTCCTCCCATGCGCCCAATCACCCCTCATCAAATGTAGATTTTTCTCAGCCGTGCCCCAAAAGGGCCTTGGGGCTAGTTTTCAAAGCGGCCCGTGCTCATGATGCAGATTTTGGAGGTTCTTGGGGCCTTCGGAAGAAACGGAGGTCTGATGATGCACGTGCAGGGGGCAGTCGGCGGCAGTGGCGCCGCTCCCCAAAGATCTAGACATGGGCTCCGCCCTGGACCACGGCAGCGCAGGCAGCATGAAGAGGGACCCAACCTATTTTCTTGAGTTCCCAAAAACACCCAAAATGACCACATCTGGCCCAAACCCAGGTTCTCGGGCCCAGAACCTGGGTTTGGGCCAGATGAGGTTATTTTCGGTTGTTTTGGGAGTGGGTTACACCATGGTTCTGGCCAGAACCATGGGTGGGCCAGATATGGTCATTTGTAGTTTGACCCCTTCCAGCCTAAGGCCATGATAAAACACACTAAAAAGCAAAATGGCCGCAGCCTGATACCTCCAAATTGGTGAAACGGAGCCCCAATGATGCTGGCCAAGGGGGCCAGCATCATCAGCATCATTGGGGGCTCGCTTCTCCAATCTGAGGTCTTCCGGTACTCCCCCGACGTGCAAAAAATGGTGTGGTGGGCCTCGGAGGCTAGTTTTCGGCCCGTGCTCATGATGGGGTTCTAGGGGACCCCAAAATCCTTCAAAAATCCATCCGTGCTCTGGGGATTCGCTTCAAAAACGCATGTTAATTTTGCAGTGGTTTTGGAAGGGGTTCCGGAGGGCCCGTTTCTCCAAGCCCGTTGCCCGATTTAAGTGACGCCGCTGGCCCCGGGCAACAGAGAGGCAGTGCATAAGCGTCCGGACGGGCAGCCCTGCGGCCTGCGATTGCCAGACCTGGCAGGCCCCGCAACAAGGAAACGAGCTTTGAAGGCAGTGGAGGTGGTGGAGGGGTCAGTGGGGGTGGGTGGTTTGATGGAGTTGGAAGGGCACGGGTTGGGGGGTCTGGGGGGTTTGATGGGCGACCCATGGGGGGAGCCTTGGAGGGGGTGGGCTAGTGGCGGGAAAAGGCTTACTGGCAACCTCTCAAAGTCTGCACGAACAGTTCTGAAACGGTAGAAAAACACATTTTTTTCGGTGCTGGAAGGAGGCCTAGGTCTAGGCCAGGGTTTGAGGGGGTGGAGGGGAAGCTTCTTTCGCGAAAGCCAAGGTACAGGGATCGTGAAGATGCAGCGCAGACCTTTGAGACCTTCTGGAGCCGTTTGCAACCATACCGGAATCGGAGTGTCGTCATTATGCAGCGGAGTCCCGGTGCTGCACGATGGGTACCAGATGCTTTCCTGGATTTGATTTTCATCGATGGTTTTCATGCCTACGACCCTTTGAAAGCAGACATTGCAGCTTGGCTGCCGAAGCTGCGAAGTCCAGGAATTTTGGCTGGGCACGACTACGGCTTGTTTTGGCCCGGAGTTTGCGATGCGGTTCATGAGTTTGCAGCTTCTAGTGAGAGCTCTCTAGCACTTGGCCCTGAAGGCATGTGGTGGTTCGAGGTGTAAATGTGACACAGCTGCTTGCCTCTGCTTGCAGCGCGCTTGCCAAAAAAAGCTCCGTATGCTTTTGCTGTAACATAAGTAGCGCAAATGGGCACCCCTCCATTTTCAAGGATGCGTGCTCGCAATTGGACATCGATCGCGCTGAAAGCTGCAAGGGATGGGCTGCAAAGGACTGCTTTTGAGACATGACGACAGATAGATAGATCCTAGCTTCTTTCCTTGCTACTTGCTAGTATGTTTCGAAGATGTTCCGCTGGCTACGTTCAGGAGCAAGGATTGCATTCATGATCAGTCTCTTATGAACACGCTGGGGTCTTATTGCTTTTCGCTGGAGTCTCTGGGGCCGAACCGAGAGACGGTGGAGTTGCCTGGTGTTCCCAAGGCTTCACCTCCATGGTTCCCTGCACAATCCTGGCGAGCTTGGAACACAGAAGCAGCCAGCTTTTGAAAACCAGCAGGGTGAAACCCATGCAGGCCAAGCCCAATGCAGACACTGCCTTGCCGTTGGATGCTGGTGAGCTCCTGCAGGTGTCAGGGATGTGTGTGCATGTCTGCACAGATATTGATGCCATATCCGTACGGCTCAAGTGCGTCAGCGTAAAATTTGATGGAGCACTGGTACAAGCCAACATGAAGCCAGGAGCCTGTATGTTGACACCCGAACAGTAAGTCAGCCGTCAGATGTGCAGTCAAGAACACCTTCGGGGTGATGGCATGCATGGCATAGCAGGACTCTGAGGCCCGAACAGTGGAGCAAGCGAGCACCTAATGTGAGGAGATGCGAGGCGCATGATTCATTGTTATTCATGCCGGGTGTTCAGGACAGCTCTGAATGCATGTTGCAGCCAGCACGCCGAGTCGGCCTGCGGTCTCAGTTGCCGACCACGTCATACCCATGGATAGGGTGCCCGTCAAGCTCAGTTCTGCAGAAGGCTTTGACTTGATGCCTTCAGATGCCAAGCCGCTAAGCCAAGGTTGCAGCATGAAGATGGGCCGAGCCCAGAGGCTGGAACAGGGAGCTTTTGCTCCAAAACCAAACGACTCTTTCCCGCGTCAAACATCGTCAGAAGGTCATTCGCCAGCTTGATCTGGACCTTCCCCGGACGGCTGGTGGTGACAAGTCGCTCCAGGCTTGCATCGGCAGGCCCGGTTCGGCATAAGCATGGACACTGGCATTTCTGCACGCGCTGCCAGGGTTCGAGGCATGATCCTCCAACACCTTGACGAAGACCCTGAGCAACTTGGACATGATCACCTGGACAATGCTGTATGATTGTAGACCTTTGGCTTAGGCTTGCTAGTGTGCACAGGGTCAGGGCGCGATAAAAGCAAGCGATGTTCGCATGCAGACTGAGCAAGAGATGGCACCTGAAGGCTTGGCTACTGCCAGGGCATGACACTAGTCGCGGCAGTTTTTGCTGCTGCGATTCAAGATCCTGAGGCCAGCTGTTGCAGGCAATGCTAAGCATGATGTCAGCTGTCAGCAGGCATACAAGCGCTTCGCCGCATTTGTGAAACAAGTGCGTGGTCTTTGGCTGCTCCGGGCCCGGCATGTGTGCACTTCTGTTGTAACAGGTGCAAGTACAAACGATACTGCTCCCCCCAAAAATGTTTGCCTGTAGCGTTAGTGCTCAAAGCCAAGCAAGCAAGCCGAGCCGAGCCGGTCCTCGGGATAATGACTTCGCGAAGCAGATCTTTGATCCTCCCGATCTTGGTGGCGGGAGTTGGGCTTTGCGGCATTTTCTATGAGGGCCTCTCCTTCATGGCTGTGGCGCCCCAGCATGTTGCCCGTAGCACCTTCGCTGGAGTGCGGGACAGCAGGGAACTACTGAACCAGCACTTTCAGGAGCGCGTGACCACAGCTACGGCTGCCTCAGCCGCCTCAGCCGGGCGCGGCCTTTCGCGCGAGAGCGCCACCGAAAGGGCCGCCTTGGTGCCTCCCTTTGCGGCTCTCCTTGGCTTGGCAAATGCTATGCTGGCGCGGCGACGCTCAGGGCGTCCGTTCTTCGGTCGCAAGGCCGAGGGTGACACAGAGAGTGCCGAAGAGGAGAGTTCTCTGCAAAAGTTGAGCACAGCCTTTTGCAACCTCTTTGCAATCTGGTTGGCAATTGCAGCGGTTGCTGCCCTGAAGCAGCCTTCGACTTTCACATGGGTGAAGTCAGAGTACTTCACAGGGCTGCTGGGACTTCTGATGTTCTCCGTGGGCATCACGACCACCATCGATGACTTCAAGGAATGCTTGAAGCGCCCCGGAGCCGTAGCCATCAACTTTGTTTCCTGCTACGGGATCATGCCTCTGTTGGCTTTCATGCTTGCAAAGGCCATTGGGGCTGAGGGTGCCATTCTTGCCGGCCTCGTCCTCGTAGGATCCATCAATGGTGGCCAAGCCTCGAATCTTTGCACCCTCATTGCCGGCGGCGATGTTGCCCTGAGCGTTTTGATGACGACCTCTACTACCTTGGGCTGCATTGTGATGACCCCTTTGATTTGCAAGCTTGTCTTGGGAGCAGTGGTGCCGGTGGATGCCATGGGTATCGTAGTGTCAACTTTCCAGGTGGTTTTGGCTCCCATCTTCCTGGGCGTTGGCTGCAACACCCTGGTTCCCAAGTTCTGCAAGGCTGTAACTCCTTACACCCCAGTCATTGGTGTCATCTCCACAGTCTTGCTGGTCGGAGCTTCAGTGGCAGGCTGTGCAGCACCCATTAAAGGAGCAGGAATCCCTTTGCAACTGGCCTGCTTGGCTCTTCACCTCTTTGGAGGCCTCCTTGGCTTCTTCGCGACACAAATCTGCGGTTTTGATGAAAGGACTTGCCGCACCGTGGCCATTGAGACCTCCATGAAGTCCAGTGCATTCGGCTTTCTGCTTGCCTCGCTCCATTTTGGAGCCCCAGGCTTAGTTGAGGCTTCGTTGTAAGATCTTGTAGTAAGCCAATGGCTACAGATCATTGTTGCACGATGTTTTTTGCGAATTAGCTTTGCGTCTGAGGCATTCAACGTCCGAGTTCCATCCGCGGTCAGCGTGGTGTGGATGGCCATTGTCGGCAGCGTGTTGGCAGTGTATTGGAAGAGCAAGGCAACAGCGTTCTGAAACATGCAGTCGCCTCAGGGCATGGCAAAGGCAATCAGTTGCTCTGCTTTCGTGTATCTTCGTGCATTTTTTGCGTTTCTGCTGAGTCTGAGTTCCTTTGTGTCTGAGGGGAAGAGGCAGCTCATCCTGGCTTGGCAGCTTGTCTTGAGCTTGTTTGCACAGAAAACCGGCGAATGGGACCTCAGCCCCGAGGTGGAACTCAGTTGCCAACAGCTTCGACTTCCACCAGGCCAAGCAAGTATTCTAGCGCGTTGTGCCTTGCACTCTGGAGGGTGGTGTAAGGCTCATCTGAGTGCGGTGTACAGGCACGGGACGTTGTGATCGTGGTCAATGACTCAATGACATACAACCGTATTCTGATCGATTTCTCACAACTATGGCTTTTGCGCTTGAGCGCCAGCCTGTGTAATCTTGTGCATGCGCAAACCTCTCATTTGCAGCGGGGGCTGGCTCTATCGCCTGGTCAGAGGCGAGCTCATGTTTGCTAAGTGTATTCATGGAAACATGTTTTACAATCGTAGGCGAGATGTGAATTCATAGGCCATTCTTGGTTTGACTTGCTATGTCTGGGGTTTGCCAGAGCCTTTGATGCTTGCATGCCCAACTGCTCAGGAATGGACAAACCCAATTAACGCAAGGAAGCCTGATGACCACGGTTTGTTGGCAAAGGTGTCGGCATATAAGCGAGAGCTCTTGGGCAGACTACGCAGCTGTGACTGGAAGACTGTTCATCAAGCTCGAGTGAAGGGATGCTTCTGCCGGATAAAAGTTGCTCAGGCTCTGCAAAGCAAGAGTTTCTTCTCAAATCCACTTCTACCACGGGCCATCATCACCCAGCACAGGCCTGGATTTCCGCTGCTGATGCCCTGCATGTCGGGCTTTGAGGCTCGTCGAAAGTCTGCTGAAGCCTGTGGCTTGGACTGATACTTGACGACACTGCCTTGTCAGGTCCTAGCACGGGAGAGAGCTTGGTTCATTCACTTCACCAGGCGGGCAGATGCAAAAAAAACGGCCCTCGCTGCTCTGAGTGGTGTGATGCAAAAGGCTTGGTGTGCGCAGTGACATGTTTTTGCCGCAGGCCTGCAAAGCTGCAAAGCTGTGGCAATGCTCCTTGTTTAGAGTCTGCATTTGGCAAATCTTGGCAGGCAATGTTGTCCATGTTTGTGAATTGGCTGCCGCTGATGATGTTACTGTTCCAGCCTTGGTTTGGACGGAAAACCTGGCACATGTGAATTGAGCTGCTTCTGAGGCATTGCTTGAGCTTCCTGGAAGACTTTGGCCTAGCGGCCTTGCTTTCAATGTCAGGATCACAGTGGTGCATCTAAGAGTGGATTATATTCACGACGGCTTGGAAACCCTGAGGGCAGTCGCCTTCCTGGACTTGCACGAAGCCCGCTTGCTTGAGCAACCCACGTTTGAGGAGCTTTCCTTTGTTCTCCCACTTGCGCAGTTTTCCTCACATGGTTCGTAAAGGGCCAGTGCCCTGGTGTTGTGTATTCCCATCACTGCCACAGGAGCTCATGGAGACATTACAGGGTGCAGGCCTAAGATTCCTGCCCTGCCGTGACATGCAAGCAGTCTGTTTCGTGCTTTGCCGACAGTTGTTGATGGATATTTGAGGTTGGTCGGACCCACAATTTTAAACTAGTTCTCTTTACAGCGCCAGATTCTTTGGATCCCTGGTGTAGGGGCACTAAAGAAGAAGGTTTCATGATATGAGAACCCCTAGAACAAAAGCAAATGTGCTCGCGATGCCTTGTACGTGGATCCAATCCAAAAGTCTAAAAGCGTGTTTTTGCACGGTCCTTCTGAAGGCCTCAAGCAGGCAGAGGGCTGCCCCTCCGAGCTGCTGCTGAGAGCTGAGCGCGGCATGGCGGAGGACCTTCGGCATGGTGTCCTTGGTGGCGTGGTGTTCTAGTGCCGCTATGGACAGTTGCAGTAGAATCTGTTACGGCAACTAGCGATACAACAGTAAGAAGGGCAGCCCACTTTCCCTGGCACCTTCTACAGATGCAGGCATCGGAAGCGCTGGAAGCAGAGCAAATCGTGCCAAGGCCTGATGCCATATTCATGCTCGGTTGGGCCAAGTTTTGCGCATGCCGCCTTTGAGATGCCTTTCGCAGACCCTCTCATGGCCGCTTCAAGCGCAAAGGCTCGCAGGTGGTGGATGAGGATCCTCAGCAAGCCTCTCAAAGACTGAATTGCCATTCAGGAAAACTGTCATGACCTACAGGAGGGCAAAGAGATCTTGGCATCGTCTGGCCTGGGAAGCACCATTGAGTGGCGTGGCACCTAAACAGCTGCTCTGCAGCTGTGACAGTAATAGCAGTGACTGAGTAGCAGTATGAATCTTGTAGTAACCATGGCTAGCATAAGTCATACCTACAAGTTCATCCGCGGATTTCTACAGTAGTCTCCAGCATTTTTAAGCATGGCTCAAAGCACATGCGTTTCTCCCTGGTTCAGGATCTCCTCACAGACGAGCAGTTCGATATCTGACTGGTGGCAGGTCAGTGTTTTTCAGCACGGTTCTCCAATTTCAAACGCTAGCGAGCGCAGCACCCCCACTGAACTGCAGACCACAGAAAAGGGAAGCTCTTCAGAAGCATTGATACAAGGCTCGACTTGGACCGCCCTACGGTGAGGGCCGTAGCACACGAGCCACGTCTCGTCCTGGTAGCGGAGTTCTCAACACCGGAAGCACTAGAGCGGTGCCCGGGCAAGATCTGCGTAGGCAGAGCGGACCGAAGGAAAGCTCGGAGAGCGACTCTACGGCCCTGCGGCAGTGGAGAAGGGGAGCCATGGTTAGTCTTCCGTCCTTCTGCGTATCGTCAACTAGAGGCGACCCTCCGCCACGTTTGGGACACTTGGGACAATCGGGAAACTGAAGCAAGAGCAAGAGATGAAGGACCTAAGGAATGCTGCATTCTCGAAGCCAGCCGCCTAGTACGGAACTTCGACCCTGCGCATGTGCCCATCTTGGGTTCCTGCTGTTCGTTGCAAAAAGGCAACATGTCATACAGATTCTAAATCGTCACTTTTTTCGTCCCTTTTTTTTTTGCGAAAACTGACAGTCGCCAACCCTCAACCGATCTCCCCAAACCTCGTCACTCACTTGTTGCCCCGTGTTCCCGCCTCCTCTCCTGACATCAGAGAACTGCTTCCGAGGGGTTCGCGGTTGCTGGAGAGCACAGGTTTGTGTGGTGCCCTGACATGCCAATCGTGTACTTGGGTTCCCAGACCTCATGGCAGACGGGCTTGCTGCGCAGCTACAGTCGTTCATAGAGTGCCCGAGCTCTTAAAAGTTGTGCAGGGAACGGGCCTGCGCTCGTCGCTTCTCGGCTGGGCCTTCCTGCAATGTGAGGAGCGCTTCTCTACATCTCGTACTCTGCTTTTCTGCTTCTCTGCTTGCTTGCGAGGCTCCCTCCGTGTCGAGCCGTGAGAAGGTAGCCGAGAGCAGGGTACTTTCAGCGCTGGAGCGCAGTCTGTGAGATGCCGCCGCATCCCTCCGCGGCAGATTCTGTCGCAAGGGGCAAAGGTCCCCTCAGGGCCTGCCAAGGTGCCCGCGGGCTATGTCCAAAGTCTAAATCTGAATTATCGCAGTGTGCAAAAGTCATTTTCTCAATATGATTGTATTTCAGCAAGCGCTGTTGCACTCGCACGCGGTAGCGAACTCTCTTTTTTGAGGCAAGGGACCTGTTGTACAACAGTCCAACCATGTCTCACGATGTTCCAGCCGTATGTTAACGACATGAGGAGAGCCTGGAAGCAACCTGCTTCGGCTCTTCCTCATTGCCTTCTCATGACTCCTGACACTGAAAGTCCTTGCCACTTCTTCGCCGCTGTGCTGTTTCTTGGGATTCTAGATGAGGTCCCTGCGACAGAGTGGCAAATGTTCTGGAACATACCAGGGCTAATGCTGCCAGAGGCCACCAGATTGCCTTTAATGAGCTTTGCACTTCTTGCATTTGCTGTCACTCAAGCTGAAGTTTGATCCAGGTCCTCGAACGAGCCACGCTCAGCTTGTCCATTTCCTCAGAATCGGCTGGCGACCACCACAACCAAGGTCGCCGATATCCGGGAATAGTTGGAGCTAGCCATTTCGAGGCACGGCGTGCGCAGTCAATCCTTCCTGAAGCCTTGAGGCACTGACTTGGCTCACTTACATGATGCTTGCATCATCTTGCAGCCATTCCTTGTCGCTTCCTGCCAGGTTTACTGCCCGGACCCTGTAGATTTGCTGAGCGCCATGGCCTGAATGAAGATCTCTGGAGCAGTGAGAATTGAACGCGATGACTAGGGCTGGTCCTTCATTCTCTCCAGCAGTGACACACGAAAACGCGTTCGAACTATGTCGCTTCTGAAGGCAGCTGCATCTTGTCAAGGGCTCTACAAGCTTTGCCCTCGACTTGTTGCAGGGTATGGAACGCCTGACGCAGTGTGCACGTGAGGCCGCTGTCTTACATTTTTTTGCAGGTTCCAATTTTTGTAGGTTCTATTGCTGCTGAGACTGGGAGACCTGTGATTGTGCAGGGAACAGCGGGCTTTGTCCACCCACGAGATGTGCCAGCCGCTGAGTTCATGCGGACACACAGAGCAGACCCTACGATGCAGTGATTGCGGTGGGCATGTGATCATGACATGGTGGCAGACACGTGAGGCATCCTTCCCGTTGCTGCAGATGTGGCGAAAGAGTGTCGTTGGCCAGTCTCTGAGAAGCGTGTGCGAACTTCCTGCCAGCATTTTCTCACTGCCGAGGTGCACATCCCGGGCGACATGAAAGAATGGGCCTTTGTTGACAAACTCTTCCGTGCTGGCCTCAGCATTCGTGTAGCGTAGCAGGAAGCCTGGTCGTTGGAGGTTGGAGCTTGCGGGAGTTCTTGTTGATCAGCTTTTGGTTTTTGAGCTACGAAAGTGGGACCATGTGATCTGATATTTCAGAGACTCAGAGGCTTGCATCGGCCCCCCCCGCCAACTTGAATGCTTGAAGTGTCAGGCCTTCACCTTGTAGTGACAGAATTTCTGACAATGGCGATGGGGGGATCCCCCCGCCACCTTCGGCGTGAAGACCCCCAGTTTTGGTTTTGTGGTCCGTTGGATTTGTTGCGACATGTTCCGAACCTGTCATGCTATTAAGGCCAAGTTTTTGCAGTTCAAGGTAATCGCAAAGATTGGAGTAGGATGACCATGTAGTACGTTGTTTTTGCCTAAAATCTTGCGCGAAGGGATGCGTCATGCCCTTTCAAGAGCACTTGCACGCAGTTGCCCAAAGGCTATCATTCGCCCTTCGGTGATTGGAAAGAGAAAGAGTCCCCGGCTCAGCAGGAGGTTACGTGCTAACATGGTGCTGTGGCTTGGCTTTTGCAGGCTGCAAGCAACGCTTACGCGCCAACTATGGCAGAAGGATGGGACTCAGACATTCTCATAGGCTGCTTTGCTGTCAGCAGGTTTGACTGGCCAGGAGTCCCGCTTCGCCGAACAGAGCCGCCATGTGACAGGGGTTCGCCTCCAGCAGACTCCAAGGGAAATGTTTGCGGCCATTTTCTCTGAGCTTCTTGGCTGCCAGGCGGCTGGATTGATGGTACAGTTGTACGGCGGCGAGGTGCTCCTCACGCAATCTTTGGATTGGCTGATCACACCTGCAAAGGTAGTTTGCCATGAGTTGAGGTTTGTTTTCAGCGGGACGGCAAGATGTGCTGCAGTGCACGCAATGACCTGTCGGGAACTTGGCATTGCAACGAAGAGAACTTCTCTCGACATTGTGAGAGACTTCTTCCTCTGTTTCCTCTTTCTCACACTGTTGCATGCACATCATGCATCCATCACCTTGGCTGCAAAACCCCATTGTAGGAACCGTTCTGAGCAAATGCATAAGCCACAAACAAGAAGCCTCATGAGAGTTTGAGGCGAGAGGAGCAGCGGGTGTTGTACAAGACAATGAACATGGAGCCGCTGCCTCCACCCTTCCTTCTTGAGGCTTCCCTAAGCACGTGTCCATACAAAGAATTGTGAGGAAGTGCCAACTGCATAGGTGGAGACAACCGCAGCAGCAGATGCTCATGTGCTCATCGGCAAGAAGCTTGGCAAAGCCCGAAGCTCTCTTATGGGCTTCTGTTTCATGGAATGTGACACTGCAAGGTCAAGGGCCCTTGAACTCCCTGGAGGCACGGAGCGACATTGTGTAGCCCCGGGTCTGACTTGGGCTGTGGAAGAGGTGTGGCAGTGTTGGGTTGGGGCACGATCTGTTGCTATGGGGCATCCTCTCCATGCAAATGTCATTCTGGCAGGATTAGTGAATTTTGAAGTTCTGTGCAGATCGTGGCTGGTGCGCACGGTGGCACTTGGTCCGCAGCACGGCCGAAGCCCCAACTCCCAGATGTACCTCACTCTTTGGTATGCGTCTGGTAGAGGTGGGTGACAGGGGGCAGCCACGTCCCGATGACCGCTTTCACTGGTGCTCCACAACAGGACAGCGCAGGGGCTCCACCGAGAAGTACAGCACCAGAAGATGCCTGTCAGGACAACCCTTCCTTGGGCAGCACCCCATCAAAGTTTACACTGCAACTTGACGAGGCTGTAGAAAAGAGGGCAACAGCAGACCCCTCAGTGGACGAATGCATGCGTCCCAGGATGGAAGACTGGAAGTTCGTCACGGCACATCTGCACCTTGGCTTGGAACATCAGTGGAGCCATTCCAGCATTTCCAGCATCGCTGGGTACGCCCAGGAGTGGGGCTTCTACGTGCCGGAACATTACTTGGTCTATTTGAGGCTGGTCTGCACCTAGTCCAAGATAGGCATTTTGGTGAAGGCGAGCTTCTCCGAGCCGGAGCAACTTGGCACTGCGAGTACAGAAACACGCGACCTTGCAATGAAAACAGGCAGCAGCCGGTCGGCATTTATGCCGCGAGCCGAAAGTTCTGCTGAGTTGCGATAAGTGGCAGCGGCTCGACAGCTCACCCACGGAAAGATAACGTTTGTGCTGTCATCAAGCAGCTGCATCCAATTGAAAGACACCACACGCATGGCAAAAAGAGCCGTTTCTCTGTTGACACGGCAGCAATTTTCATCTGCCAGCCGAGGTGGGAGTTCCTGGCGATGTGAGTGCACTTTGGTCTTTGTGTCGAAAATCCTTACATCAGAAAAATGTGACAGGCATTTCTTGAGTGTTCGGTTTGCCTTTGTGCAGTGATTTTGCAGATTTTTTTGGCGCAGTGCCCGCTCGCGTGCTGTCATGGCTCGGGAAGCAAGGCTGCCCTTTCACAGGGCTCTCAAGTGTGAGGTATGCGCTGCAGTGGCCACATTGGCAGAAATCCCACCCCGCAAAGACACGAAACCTGAGCTTCCGACAGAGAGAGTCCATGGGGCATTTGTCCGGTGCTTGCAGACAGGACCTTGGTAGATTCACGCCTCTTGATTGCTTGGGATCTCGGATGCTCATTTTCAGGTGCATCTCTGAGCGCCATATCTTCGACAGCCCGATGTCTCCTGCTGCTGGCGCACACCTCAAACCTGCGTAAACGTGCGTAAGCCGTAAGCATGTGCCAGCCGGATCCAACCAGTTGCAGAACGATAACGGAATTCCAAGGTCATTACAGCAGCGGGTGCTATCTTTGGCTGTGCCCGTTCCTCTGCTCTGAGCCGTTTGTGCCTCTGGGTCAGAGCTGCTGAGGCTGTGATGGCCGATCTGAACACGCTCTGCTACGGGCATGAGGCAAGAAAACACATATCCGGATATCCCTGGCATACGAGGATCAACAGCCCTTGCAGGCCCACCGCACGATCAGCAAGTTCTTGGAAATGGTGCCAGGTACTGCACTCAGGATTCGCCATCACGTCACTCACGTTAGAGAAGTGCCTGATGGCCATGGCCCGCTTCAAAGCATGTCCTCACAGGCCAGCTATCAAGCCTTGTGCTGCCCCAAGCGGCAGCTTTCAGACTTGGCCTTTATATCGTTCTTGTTCCCTTTGAGGCTGTGCTCCTGCTGCCAGCATTCTGTTGCTGGCTGTGTGTGAAGGAGGTTCAGTCTGCCTGCGTGAGAACAGCTTTCATGTAGCGGCGTGTTCCCAAGGAAGCAAGACTGATTCAGGATCGCCAGACACCAAAGTCTTTTTCCTCAACTCATAATGCCCTGCAAGAGACCTCCGCTTGTCTCAGGTTCTCACAGTCGCCGGTGGTGGGCAGGCAGTGGCGGCGTGCTGGTGGGCCGCCTGGGCTGCTTGGTGAGGTGCTTGCGCACATGCGTTGTTAAACGCATTGCAAGGTCGCTGGGCTTCTCATCGGGGCAGGAGCCTGAGCGCAATTCAGAGCAAAGCAGTGCCTCGGGGTGTAACAGATTGTGACCGCGTGGCGGCGCTTCAGGTTTTGGCAGGCCCGCCTCCAGGACCCTACGCGCAGTTCCAGGATGCCGGGCACTGTGAAGTGACAAGTTGGTTCGGAGGAATCTTAGAGCAGCAAATTTGCACCGTACAAGGTTGATCTGCGAAATAATGGGACAGATGTGCAAGATCAAAGGTGGGCAGGAGAATTACTCTGAAGTTGACATTTCGACGTTCCACTCCATGCCATTACCTGCTTTGCAGGTCCATTTCTGAACGTGTAGATCTCTGATGCCGAAGAAAGGTGCTGTGCCACAAGAGACAAGAGCCTCGGGCGATTCCGTGCGAGCTGATGTAACGAACACTGAAGACAGGAGGTATGTCAAGAGGAAGGCTCCAGATGCTCAGCGCTTGCTCCGCAGAGCACGTGACCAAGTCGAGCTGGCCTCCCGTTGCGAGCATGTGGACTCTGGTCTGCAGGGCCTTGAGCGAAGGCACATGGTAGGTAGTCATTTGCCTGACAGGCTGACCAACTTACCACCCGGACAATCTCAAGCGTAACAGAGACCCTTGCATGCCATATATGCTATCATTTTGCATGCGTTGAGTGTTTGTCATTGGACTCAAGAGCTGTGCTGTGGTCCGCTGCGTCAGAGCTGCAGTGGGAGTCCCTGTAGATAACTGGCACTGGCCTATGATTTTGCAAGAAGCAACATGAAGCTCCCAATCACAGCACAAGTTGTGAGCACTCTGCAAACTTGGCAAGGTGCCACGCCTTGGCTGCATGCATCTAAGCAAGCCTTTGAAGGTTGCTTGTTGCAAGCGAAGATCACAATGGCAGCTGTATGTTGTCAGATGTTTTTGTTGTCCCCCAAGACCTAGCCAAGACATGTACACGGCAGCTGGCAGCAAATGCAATATCAGCACACACTACGTCTTACGGAAAGCTTGGGTCTAACTTGCCCGCGCTGCAGTGCTGCCATGGAGAGAGCCGTGGACCCTTGTGCGGCTTTCCAGTGATTTGTTCATGTGTGTGTGTGTGTGTGTGTTTTGGAAAGGCCGGGCAAGGGATTGGATGAGAAAGCTTGGCTCACATGCCACCTCATGCAATGTCCACACGGAGCACTGGTAGGTTCCACAACTGGACGCCAGTATGAGACATGAGCTAACATACGGGTCGAGCCCAAAACACCAAATGTTGAACAGAACGCTACGAAGCACCCGCATGCGTCGTTGAATCTCACCAACCTTCCGCGATGGGCTTGGCTGAGTGGTTGAATCCCTGGCCGTGGCTCTGGGTTGAGGTCCCAAGACGGGTTCTTATACAGAGCAAGCGCTTGGCCGTGCTAAACTTGATTGGCGTCGTTGGCGTTTTGGCCTACGTGCTCTTTGACTTCGTCTACACGGAGGCTTATCATGGAAAGTTGCGCATCTCAACAGGCTCAGTGACCGTGTGGCGTGATGCGCCGGCAATGAACCGCGCAATCCCAGAACATTGTGTGAATCCGGAGCAGTATGACACAATCTTCGACGATACCTGGCACTATAAGCCAAGGTCTTGTCGGCAGCTGGTTGGCAGCAGTGCGTTTCGCAAGCAAGGCGACTGGCTCCACATCCCGTCTTACATGGAAGAGACATACATGTGGACATATACGAACTGCTCAGAGCACAACAGACTCACTTGCATGGACAAGGCCCGTCCAGCGGATGTCTCATCTCATGCAGAAGTGTCCTGGGAGGAGGTACACGACAATACGTGCACCTGCAGGATGAAGGACAGTTACTTTGCAAGGCATCCGGAGGAGGAAATCTTGGTATTCACCCACAACTACTTCGTGCCCACTCTGGATGGCAGCACCACATTGCCTTTGTTTGGGCTTCCGCAGGAGTGGGGATCAGTGCAGACAATCCTGCTAGCTGGTAATGGATCACGATGCGAGGTGGGCGGGAAGCGCCTAGAAGTCTTCAGAAATACTTTTGTTTGTCGCTCCTGTAGAAGCGAACAGTAAGGCACATACAGACATTGTGCTTCACACGCCTTTTCGGATTAATCCTTTTGATGCTTAATTTATTGTTCTCCATGCGCTGACAGCATGGAACAGTGGGATGGTTGAAACTTGTAGAAAAGAAGCGAGTCTGATATCCTTGTATTTCGACCATGAGATGATCGGTACAACAGTTCAAACAGTTCTAGAGCCACATAAGATTTGAGTGGAAACCCAATCCGAAAGAAATTTTGGTCCATGGACCCAGGGAAAAGGACCCCTGAACTGTAGCTCTTTCTAATCCCAACATGAACCCTTGTGGCCTTTCGAAAGGGGCGCATGATGTTGAGAACCTAAGCCCTGACAGCCCGAAACGCTCGATCTGCCCTAAACCCCTCCACCCTGAAATCTTGTAGGCGGAAAAGGGCATGCCGAAAAATCCTAGTGTGCTGCCGGCAGAAGTTTCCCTAGAACACCCTAACACTACGTGTAGTAGGGAGAAGGGACCGGAGGAGCTTTTGGAACGAAGAGGAGGCTTCCATTGGCATCGGGGCCTCGCTGCGGGATTGGATGCGATGTGCGGGTGTTGATTTAGATCTCAGCCTGGGCTTAGCTGAGCTTTTCTTTGGTTCTTCTGGCCTTCGATTTTCGCGGAAGTGAATGTAAATAATGTAAAAAGTTGAAGCTTCAAGGTGTGTGTGTTTTTTTTTTGCGCGGACCACAAATCAGCTTAGGATACCAACCCCCTGAGGCTGACCAGTCAGAATGGGACCCCAAACCTAGCTGGACACCTTCGTATCATGGGCCTGATACTGGACTTCCGCTTGAACTACTTGAGCACAGGTGCTCACAGGGAAACCCATGATGGAGTGGTTTGCTACATCACCGTCAGAGCACATGCAGCATGGAATTCTAACGTTGAAGTCCAGAAACTCCTGCTTCCTGAGCTCAGCAGCATCATGACAGAGCATCAAGTCTACATGTATGGGGTGACTCCGCGCTTCACGATTGAGGGCGACTTCCGCTACATTTCCCACACGCCAATCATGACCTGGGTCATTGCAACCACTGTCCTTCTCGCATTGCCCGCAGTCCTTATGCGCTATGTTGTGGAGTTCACGCTTGGAGTGCCGTCAAGCATCTACCGAAGGGAGACCTGTAGAACCTTCGATATCTACGATCATCTGCGCGAGACACAGGCACGCATGCTCAGCTCCCACGCTGCCTACAGCGTGCTTTCAAAGAATGCTACGCTGGACAAGGACAGCCTTGATGGATATCTGAAAGCTCTCTATGACCTGCAGCTGCGCGATGGCACCTTGCAGCAAGAGGAGCTGGACCGTCTGTGGCGAGCAACTATGACAGGCTTTGACACTGACAGGTCGGGCAAGATATCTCTTCCGGAGTTTGTTGCAGCTGCTTCGATGATGGACGACTTGCACATGGAGGACATCGTCCACTTCCTGGATACAGACCGCAAGCTGCCCTGCCTCGAGTTCTTGCTGGATAGCACGAGGCATCAGTTGCGCCAGCAAAACTTGGATATTCAGCGCGTCTCTCCATACCAAAACAGCCCCAGAGCAGATGAAAATGCAGAGGTTGGTGATGATGGAGAGTTGCCAAAGAATCCCGTGCCGCATCAAGATTGTCAGATAAGTGTGAAGTCAGAAAAAGCCCATTCCATCGAGTGATAGCGATGGGAGGGGCATTAGTCGATCAATGGTGTAGGTTAGCAGCGTGCTTTGTCGAGGCTACTCCCGAACGGGATGGCTTGTAGACGAAGGGGCAGTTTCTCAAAAGACACCTACTGACTATTCTCCCAAATCAACCCATGCAAGTCGCATAACTTTCAACGAGCCCGGCAGAACCCCTACTCCTTGAGAAATGCTCACATGTGGCAGTGGCCGGCCGTCAGCAAGACGTTCTTGGCACGATTCTATCTCCATGGACTCGGTTGCACAAGACAATGAGAAAAGCATGACTTTGTTTCCAGGAAAGGTTGAGGAGGAGGATGCTTCCTACAATTCTCCAGAGCTTCAAGCTCAGTAGACAGCGCTCATGCTAGGACTCAAAAATCAGTGAGTATGGCTATGAGGCGCCTAAGATGTTTTATGCCAGGAAAAATTGCATGCTGCGCCAAAACTTTGCAGTTCGACGCGGCAGTGGACCCCCCGGCGGAGCGCCGCAAAGATTCGTGGGACGAGGCCTGGCAACCGAACAGGCATCTGGAACGTTTCAGCCTTTGTGGGGAAAGCTGATCTTGCAGGCCATGTGGAGGATATCTTGGATCGTCACGTCCTTCGGTTTGCCAGAGCCTGTGCGAGTTGCTGCTCTGGGTCGCCCCATCCCAGGTTTCGCATGTGGACAGCGTCGTGGCTGCTGAAAAGAGCAAGCCCATGACAACTGGTGTGGATGTCTTACGCTTTTGCTGAAACCTTTGCTTTGTAGCTTCATGGCTGGGCACTTCGTGAGGCCATGCCACTTTCTGACGGATGGGTCCTAATGCAGTCCAGGAGTGCTCCTGGAAAGACCGGTGCTCAGGCGTGTGAGGGTATCAGGAAGGAGCAATGCGGAAGTTCTTCGCGATTCTGTTTTCCAAGGAAGTACTACTACAACAGCAGGCGTTGACTTTGCCGGTTTGTCGACTCATGCTTGATCTCGTGCAATCAAACAGGACGGGCGAGACATGTTGGGAACGACCACGATCAACATGATTGGTCTGAAGTTGGCACTTGCGGGTACCTTACGTGGCAGACCTGAGGGGAAAAGGAAGAACTCCGCCTTTCAACATCCTGAGGTGCTGGACGAAAGTGGACAAGGAGCAGTGAACCCTTTAACGGTTTGCCTGGCGTCTATCCCTAGCCTGGAGTCCACAAAGCCTCTGCACCTAAAAAGCAATGAATGCAAGCACGTTCTGCAAGTGCAGCTGCAGCTCCGTCAGCCGTGGAAAACGACGACCGATGCATTTCTCAAAGTAGCTGCGCGCATTTGGCATGAGACAGCTTGCCATGACGTCTTCTCGTTCTTGGCTGGCTGAAGGATTGGAGATAAAGGGGTCACTGTAGGGTTGTAGGAATCGCAACGAACATGGATGCCCAGGCCAGGGGGTTTCCATGCAAGTCGGAGAGCCTAAGCGTTGCCCTTCCAAGGCCGAGCGCCGGATGGATCGGATGGATGATGTGGCTACACCGCTGCGCAGGTGTTTTCCGGTTGCTGAGCTGCTGCGAAGTTGCTGTCGCATTGTGCCTCAGGCGGGCGCAGTCACCTGCTCCGGCTCTCTTCTCAGCCACTCGCGACTTGCATTTGCAGGGTGTGTCGGATGATGTCGGATGGAATCCTTGTAAGGCTACACCCCAGCTTGTTTCGCAGAAGAAAGGCTTGGGCTTTTTCAACATTTTTCCATATCGCACTTGTGGATTACTTCAGTTGTTCAAAGCTCATTCAGCAAGCAATTCCTCAATCCATCGCAGTCTTATCAGTCCTTGTTGCGCAGTACCTCGAGCAGTGGTGCCAGAGCGGCCCAACTCAGAGGTGGACCGGAACTTGGAAACTTGGCTGCCTCGAGTCTATCATGCGGCGTTCCTGTATTGATGATGGTTTTCAGTAAGGAGAAGAATCGGCGAACGGGTTCTGGGCAAAGGCGGGCCGTGGAGCACAAATGGAAGATGGCGGTCCCATTTGATGCAGGTTCGGCCTTGTGGCAGGTGTTGCCATGTTGGCTTTCGCCTGTTTCAGGCTACTGGATGAAACGCCCATGTCTGACTTCCTCCAGCTGCGGTCAATTGTTGTTGGGCTCAGGCTTCTTTGGCCGGCGCTTTCACGCGGAATTGTGAAGCCAGGTTTGACAGAGGCCGGGTCTTTGAGACGACCATGTGCCACTGATGCACTTGTACTAACATCCTAGGTCAACAAGCAACAAGCAGTCAACATGCATTTTCCGGGTGCTTGATTTGTTTTGGTACCATGCATGTCCAGGGCAGGGCAGGGTGATGGTATTCTGGTGGAGTGCAGATCTGGAACACGTGCAGGAGCACCAGGAGTCGAACATGACCAGCCGGATTCCTAAGATGCAGCATACGGCAACCTGGTGGCATTCTCGTTTTCCAGGTCTGGCGACGGTTGAAAGGGAGCCGCAGGCATTTTTGAAACGTGTCTTGCAGACTGGCTCGGCCATGTTTTCCTAAAAACATCTCGGATGTTGAGTTCTCGTGTAGGTTAAAAGGGGAGGGGGGCGCGATACGGTAGAGGTACGCTAGGGGTACGCAGGGGTGCGGCCGTCAAGGGGGCGGGTTGAAAGGCGGTCGGTGTACGCTAGGGCGGCCAATAAAGCGGGGCGGTTGAAAGGGGGGCGATGCGGTAGGGGTGGGGTACGCAGGGGTGCGGCCGTCAAGGGGGCGAGGTGCGGTTGAAAGGGGGGCGCGGTGGGCCCGGTCGCAGGGTTGCGGTCGTCTGACGAGGGGCCTTCCTGGGGGGCTTCCTGGCAAGCAGTGTCCAAAATGTGCCCCGGAACGGGGTAAGGCATTTTGGAGGCAAAACCGGCTGACGCTCGTGATGCTGGCTCTTGGCGTCTTCCTGAGAATGTTTTTTTCGCTGAGAAGCGCACAAGGCGGGAGTGCGCGAGGACTGGGCAACGGAGGGGGTCCGGAGGGGGTGCGCAGGTCGACATAGTAAGAGTCAGTGAGAGGGCGCGCGAGGATTTTCCAGTGGGACAGGGCGGCGCGGAGGGGGTATCGCTGTAGGCGTCCTCCTTAGGTTTAACGTTCTCAGCCTCCGGCTGCAACCCATTCGGTCTTGATTGTGCTCCGGATTGTTTTTGGGTTCCTGGCTTGACCTTGTTTACAGACTGGGCCCAGCTATCCACAGCTCATCAATCGCGCTCTGGCAAAGCACTTGGCTTTTCCTACATGTGTCTTTCAGATGCTGGCTTGTCAATATGCAGCATGAGGATTGTCCCAACATCCGAGCAGACGTCCTTGATGCGCCCACCTCAATGAGTATTCGTGTGCCAGATCTTGGACAGCAAAAGGTACCCCCCAAGCCAAGTGCAGCGAGGTCTTAGCAGGAGCGCCTTACGAGTTCAGCGATGCTGCTGAAGAGCAGGTGCAACCATGCAGCTTCTGTGCAGCGAAGAGAGCGGATAAGAGCTGCCGGAGCACAAGTAAACAATTGCGAAAATTCCTTGTGGACATGTTAGAGGCTCGGATTCTATCACGTCCTAAAAAAATGGCCATTCTCACGTGAAATGCTTATGACCTTCATGACAAGGACCCAAGAAGTCGAAGACCTAATCCCCTGATGAAAACTGTTCTTTCATGGCTGCCTCCCGCTCCTGATGCAGGGACTCTTTTAGGTGGGTGGGCGGAGAAGTTTGGGTTGTCTTTACCTTCATTTTTAGAGGCTGTAGTTCAGTTGGGCCAAGGCGGGTCCAGACGTGCCGGATTGTTTATGGCGTTAGAGGCTGTAGTTCAGTTGGGCCAAGGCGGGTCCAGACGTGCCGGATTATTTATGGCGGAATGCCCTCCTGGTGCCGACCATGCCTGGGCAATGATGGGTTCGCGGCAATCAGGGCGCTTCTTTGGATGTGCTGGAAACGGGACTGCAGTAGATCTTCTAGGAGACCCGGGTTTTCTCCCTTAAATTGTTGTGTGACATCAAGCGTCTACTACTGCATTAAAATTAACCCCAACCATCAACTCCTTGCAATTCCACCGCATATGTTTCAGGATCCTAAACCCCAGCCCTGTAATGTGAAGCAGTCGGCGCCAATCCATTTACAAGAACTTGATTTGTTGGCATGTGGGAAGGAGGGAGGGAGGGAGATTTTCCATATTCTGGCATTGACCAAATTGCTTGACGCATTGGTGGTGAAGATTTCTGTCTTGATGGCCACACGCACATGCACGTGGCGACTTGTGGTTGTTGTGAGGCGTGTGCAATTTTGAGATTCTGCAGGAATCCATTCACATTCACATCCGAAGTGAGTTTCCAGACGTCTGTACAGAATTGAACATCATCTCAGAACAGAGTATCAGACATGTTTCTCCGCTCAGAAAGGACCAGAACTTGTTTTGAACAAAATCAGCAGACTATTGATTCGTAAATGAGTTCAGAGTCAAACTTACAATGTTCATAAGATTGCAAGATGCATCTTCTCTTGAGTCAAATATTCGCAACATCCCTGGCGAGATGGTCACCACAGGTTTGCTAGTCAAATGAACAACATAAATCAAGTTAATCTAGATGTTCGATTTATTTGAGAAGGGGCCTTAGCCGGAATCCTGTCAACCTAACATGACTTGATTATTTTTTCTCGTTTGTGTGTTCAGATTTCGGGTTCCAGTCGTCTAGGTCATGTGGCTTTAATTCAGACTAATTGCTAGTTAGCTTTGTTGCAACATCAATTAGATTGGGGGCCATGAGCCTGAATCCACTTAGCTGATTTAATCTAATCATTTGATTTCCGTGATCAATCCATTTACAGGTCCTGAGCATGAATATAATTCGTATGACCAATTAGTCAGGAGGCCAGGACCCTGGAATTTGAGTGATCTTGTTGATTATCAATCTAAACATCAGATCAGCTTGATTAGGGGACCTGAGCCTGAATAAAGGAGACGGCCAGGACCCCGCAATTTCATTAATTTCATAGTTGCATGAATCACACTGATCAATGAACCTAAATTATGGGTTA